ATTAATAAATAAGTAAATACATACATACATACAATCTAATTACAATAAGGTGTTTGTTTTGCACCAAGGTGGAAGTGAGGGTACTGGTAAAGAGAAACCATTTAATTATTTTGCACAGCCCGAGCATAATGATTTAGATATCTTTTTTCACTACCATCCACAGCAAAGCCCCAAACAAGCCCTTCATCTTCTTCAGCAAGCACAAAATAAATAGGAAATGGTTGACATACTGTGAAGAGTCACACTCTTTATACTGTTTCATTTGTCTGGCGCTTGCCAAACCCTCAGCCAGTGATAGTTCATTTATCAAAGGTGGAATGAGCACATGATGCCTGTCTGCAAGCACATGTCAGTGAATGCATTGAAAAGAGTAAAAAGAAGCATGAAAGTGGAAAGTAATAGGTTCCTTTTTGACTTTGCTGTCCAAGACAACAGTAAACAATGATACTAATCATTAGTATTATCAGTCTCTTGATCCAACAAAGCATTGCTGAAGAAGTTATAGCTGCAGTCCGTAACTTTTTTGTTTAAAAATTATCCAAAATCAATTCGAGCATGGCGCTGCGTCATTACGTCATGTCTGTAAACATAAAGAAGTTGTCCCGGCTAGTATTCTATATAGCACGTGAGGATGCTGCAGGTGATGGATCATTTATAGCCTTTTCTCACAGCAGCTGAAATAAATGGCGGATTGAAATCCAGAAAGGTCGAATTGGCACAGTTTGATGTGATATGAGCTAACCGATTGTTAGATTTAATCACCATTGATAGCGCAATTTATTGTAATGCTTTTTTCCTCAGTTGATCAGAACAAAAGTGGCAGTACAAAGTGCAGTATCCATTGTGAACAAAGTCACAAAATTTCAGTCCAATGCGATAACATTAATTAGTATTTTCGGGAAAAATACAATTTTCTCAGAGCAAAAAGGACCCGAACACCACGGAAGCTGGAATGTATTCAGTACAAATGGATAAAACACAAGATTTGGCCGCTAAGAATCAATGTGCCATTGTGCTAAGATATGTGACCAGTGTCATCAATGATAAACTAATTGCAGTCATTGACTGTGAGTCATCTTCTGAAGAAAATCTTCTTGTTTTGTAGAAGAAAGTTTTGGAAAAAGTTAGCATTGACATCAAATGCATTGGCAACTCAACAGATGGGGCTGCAAACATGCAACGGCAGTACAAGGAATTTTCTACACTTCTCACATAAGAGGCATGAGCACAAGTCCATGTATGGTGTTATTCACATACAGTATACTTAAGCTTGTGTTGGCAGACACAACTGGAATTGTAGTGTCAAGTGCATCACTTTTCTCCCTGCTAAATGACATTGACACATTCATATGCGAGTCCTACACACACATGAAAGTGTGGGAGGAAGTCAGTCAGGACAGGAGACACAGACATATTGCTCCAATAGGAGAAACATGGTGGTGGTCCAAAGACCAAGCACTACGCAAAGTTTTTGGATATTTTGGAAATCCTGAGGGGGCACTTTTCATTGACCTTGTTACCACCATGGCAACGATGCAGAAAGACATTACAATGCAACTGACTGTGAGAGTGAAAGCCAGAGGTTACATGGAGGCATTACTCAGATAAAACCATACTCACAACACAGATTATCCTTCAAATATTTGCTGAAACTACACCACTGTCAAAGTACCTTTAGACAGGTGGAATGGACTTGCTGACTGCTCAGCATATGGCTATGGGAACTGATATCTACTTGAAAAGTTTAGCCGGGATTTTGAAGGTGTTAAAAAAGCAGCAGATACATTTGTAAAGTGGGCAAACAACAATCTACAGGAGCAGGATGATTATGACTTTGAGGTACAAACTGCCCTCCCAGAAAAAAGGCAAAGAAAAAAGAAAGTCATGCCAGGTGAGATGGCAAAGGGTGAGCCACTTTCAGATTCTTTGAAAGAATACAGAGTTAAAGTCCACAATGTCATCATGGACACTGTCCAAGATAGTATCTACCACTGATACACAGCAAGTGCAGCTCTGTGTTCAGATTTTGCCTGCATGGATCCTAAATATTTAGCTGAAATACAAAAAAGGGCTCCCACAATCAGCTCTAGTGGAACTTAACAAATTTTTGATCAATTTTGATGATTGTGCCACAGTGGAGACATTGCAGGCAAAGCTCACAAACTTTGCAACACACTGGGAAAGGCTGAAGATGTCAACGTTGGACAGCTATAGTAAAGACAGTGAAGGAGCTCTCAGGAGAAGATGCCAACCTTTCAGATGCAGATGAGGGCTTGGAGTTTGTGAGCACAGTTTGTTCAACTTGCAAAAACTGTGCAATATGTTGCCATATCCTGCTGTCTAAATACAACCTTCTCACTAATGCCTATCATGTCATTGGACTGGGCTACACATTTTTGCTGACATTGTCTGTTACACAAGTAGCCTGTGAAGGAAGCTTCTCCACATTGAAGCTTGTGAAGAACAGACTTAGGACCTCCATTAATCAGGAGCACCTTGAGGCTTTCATGTTAATGTCAGCTGAGAGGGAGATACTTGTTGGACAAGATACTGACAACCAGTGTTGGGGGTAACACATTACAAGTAACGTGAGTTACGTAATCAGATTACTTTTTTCAAGTAACTAGTAAAGTAACGCATTACTTATTGTAATGCATTACTTTTGAAAGTAACTTTCCCCAACACTGCTGACAACATTATTGATAATGTTGCTGAGAGCAGTGAAGGCTTGCGCTTGTTACCAACATAGTTAAACGATTCGATGTTTCCCGAAACCATAGTTCAAAAGAAAACATTCGCAAACAGCGTCGCAAACTTACGTGGAAGGAACTACAGCTCTCGACCTGTGGTTAGAAGCATATTTTCTAGTTAGTAAGACATATGGACTTAAATAAATTATGCTTTTGGGAACAATAAGCAAGCTAACATGCAGTACAATCTATATCTTCCATTCTATTTAAATATATATAAATTTTAATCGATCAATTTTAGCGGCTTATTTTTACATAGTGTAAATAGAATTCCCTTTCATGGGAACTTCGAACTGTGTCCTCTAGGGGTCGCTATGGGGAACGCCTCGTCGTGACCCGTGTCTGAAGCATACAACGACGAGGTGTTCCCCATAGCGACCCCTAGAGGACGCAGTGTCTCGTTCCCTACTCAGGGAACCATGGTTACATAAGTAACCTGAGACGTTTATGGCTGTTTGCACTTAGTGTAAATAGCATCTGTCGCAAAGACGAGACACTTTACACTTAGTGTAAGTAGCATCTATTGCTATTTGCACTTAATGCAACATACTGGTAAAAAATGTATAGCCTGCATGTACTGTACGCTTTGGATAAAAGCGTCTGCTAAATGCATAAATTATTATTATTAATTAAATTATTAATAACAACTGCCTTTGAAATAAATCCCCAGCAGAAGAGTTGGATGTCTGCGAGCAACACAGTGCTGTTTGTTTACTAAATGAATCTGCGTTTTGAACCAATTGGCTGCGCAAATGATTCAGTTATTCATAAAATCACTTGCTTCATTCCTTAATGGATCAGTCCTTTTGAACGAATCAAATTACTCATTAATACAGTGATTTGCTACCACCGACTGGCGGTTTTAGTGTTATATTTAAAACATAATTACCCAAGGTATTTAGATTAAGTTAGCCTAACCTGAGTAATCCAACGAAATATGTTACAAAATACTTTTAAAGCATGTACTTTGTAATCTGTAGTGAAATACATTTTAAAAACTAAGCTTCCCTCCCAACCCTGTAACTAATTAAATAAATGCAGATAATGTGTGCACTCCCTGTGTGACAAGAATGATATTACAATAATAATATTAATAATAGAATAATAATCAACTACATTTATATATCACTTTTCTCAACACTCAAAGTGCTCTTTAAACCGAAATCTCCTGAACCACCACCAATGTGCATCATCCACCTGGATGATGCGATGGGTTGCAAGATAATGCGCAAGAATGCCCACCACACACACCAGCCAATTAGAAGATGTGGGCATGAGACAGTAGGCGCGTTTCCATAATAGATTTGCGCAAAACTTTGGCGATATTTTATAAATGTCGATAATAAAAAGTATTGCGAAATGACGGCGTTTCCATTAACCAATGTTATGCGACTAAAACGTAACATTTTGCCTCCCGCAATAAGTCATGGCAACGGATTTTGGTGAGATTTTGACGGATTTTGGCTATGTCTATTCAAAGGAGGCGTATGCGTGTATCTTTACAGAAGCAGCACAGAGAGCCGCTTCAGAAACGTGAGTGGCGCGGCTGGATTCTGGAATAAACACACGCACTGTGGCCGCAATCAGCTTCAGTGACCGTATCAGAGCCACACTGCACCCCAGACGTGTGCACTGTAAATTGTCTAAGCATTAATGGTAGTGAGAGCCTCTTATACTGGAGAGCGGCCACGTATGATGTGTTTCTTGGAGGTTATAGTAGGCCTACATTGAAGAATGATCATATGACTTTTTACAAACGCCATATGACCTGTAAATGCGAAAAAGCCGTTTCCATTGCAGTTTTGCGAATTATTCCTTTTTCGCATTGCCATTCGAGCGTAAACACTTTTTTTTGCGATATATGGGCGTTTTTGCGAAATTTACGCGTTTCCATTCTATCTTCAATTCGCAATTTCAATTTGCGCAATTTACAGGGTAATGGAAACGCGCCTGTAGCATAAAAAAACTGCTCGCTGAGGGAATAAATAGACTGTGGTCTCAACAACAGAGGAGGACTTCGAGTAGGCTAGGCTATAATAATAATCAAAAGCCCAGGTAGCCTAGTTTTTCTTTAAATTGTGCCTTCTGTAAAATAATAATGTCGGTTTGTTACTTCTGAAAGACATGCAGCCTAATAAAGCTGAATTTAGAATAGTGCTACTTAACTAGTTTGCCCGGCTCTGATTGAGACGAAACGTGAAGGAAGTTTCGGTTTAGCACTACGCGTTGTTTGTTTATCCGAGTGGCTCGTCTTTTGAGCGCGGCTGTTTTTAGACTGCGTCTGTCACGGATTCGCTCCCTGACTCGTTCAGTGGCACTTACTGAAGGTGACAAGAACTTTTTAAGGTGACGGTGTCTTTACTCAGTGCTTGTAATAGATATGTTTTCCCGTCTCTTCATTACGACGACTGTTGTTTATTTTCTTCTCAGCAGTGGGACAGAAGGTAAGCGACTAACCTCTTTAGAACATGTCTGATCGTTTAATAATTTGCCATATGTCGTGGTTTATAACTGGTAAACATTGGTGGAAATGCAGAAAGTTTTATTCATAATACGGCATGGGTTATTATAGCTAAAGTGAAAAGTAATCTGATGACAGATTCATAATTTAGGATAGATAAGTAAACAAAAAAAGGCTACTGCATTCTCAAATCAAATCAAATCAAATCAATATACCATATTCTGATTTAATCTAATGCAACCAGTCCGTAATAGTCTAATAATGTGTAGTTTAGCCTACAACGACTTTGCTGATGCGTTTAATTCCTTCTGATATCATTTAGCTTTCTTTTTGATTATGGGTAAGGCACACAACACTTCTTAGAGGGCTTGTTTTTTTGTAGCCTTATCAGGTGCGGGGCAGTATCAGTTATAATCACCGGAGATGACTGCACACATAGCAAACGGTCTTGGCCCAAGTGTGGACTCAAGCTGGCACTGCTGGCCTCCTGTCGGCAATGGCATGTACCCTTTCAGCCAGAGTTGGGCCATGTGTGGCAATGATGGCACAGCGTGGATCACGGCAAACAACATGAGGGCCGATTGTTGGTGGGAGGAGTGTGGCCCAGATCAGTCCAGTGATCATGTGGCCCAAATCAGGCTTAATTGTGATCTGACAATATGACCCATGATAAACAAGATAAATAAAATATTGCATGATAATGGTTAAATTATCACATAAATTTGAATGAAGTGTAGTATTGTTTAAATTTAATCTTTGAAATGGCAAGTCAAAACAGAATGAAACATTATCATTTCAAAATTAAGCAAATCAGTAAATCAGTCAACTGCACTTAATTATAATTTTATTAAATTTTATATTATTATTTTCGATACAAATAATCTTAGAATCCTTACATGAGAGAGAGAGAGATCATTTAACCATTATCATGTAATATTTATTTGGTTTACCATGGGGCACATCATTTTATTTGTATGCTGTCATGCACAAGCATTAAAGAAAATTATCATAAAAATATTTTATTTTTTATTTAAATCCTCGGTATCCATGTGATGCTTTGTTTGAGGAACAGATCCAAATTCAAATCATTCATCTGCGATATGTATCTCCTTCCTCTGTAGCTATAGTAACAATTTAAATATTTGCCGTTAAGAAGTTGTACAACAAGTTTTACGGCAGCGATATCAAACGCTCATTGGCTCTCGCCGGTTTCGTCATAGATTGCGGCATGCAGTGTTTCCGCTGATACGTGTTTTGAATGAGAAACCCGCGCTTTTACGGAGTGGATTGGGATAGTATTTTCAGCGTTTAACAACTTAAATTATGCCCTGCTCCTCGCACTAAACTATTATATTCTGCCAGAGAGGACTGCAACTGCAATCGTCATTGATTACTGTGGTACTGTTCTTTGACACATCTGCAATAAATTCTTATGATTGCACGTGTCTGTCTGTTACGTTTCTCTTATAGACTGTAGTTTATACACATATTCTTTATCGGTTGATTTGTTCTTTATAAAAATAAAACATTTTCAATGCAATACGTTTTTTATTGCACAGTTACATGATTTGTGGAGTTTAAGGCTGATTTTCTATTCTGTTTAATGTACTTTATTGGCATAGTTTGTGTGTACATTACCAAAGCATTTCACAAAATGAATAATGGCGATTATAGTAATACACAATGCAATAATATCAAATATTAAGATTCTGTATTGGGTCTGGGATATATAAGGCTCAGGTGTGGCTCAGATTTGGGGATTCTGGTTTACTTAAGGCTGAGAATTGGTATCAATAATAAAACCTGTTTTGGCCCAGTCCAGGGCCAGTTAAGGGTGATTAACTGGCTGAGATTCGGGCCGGTTATGGCCCATGTGTGGCCCTTGTCTTTAATCCACTTCTGGGCCACTTCAGGGCCGTCATTCTTTGCGGCACTTGGGGCCGAGGGAAAAGTGATTGTGTGGCCCGGAGCTGGGCCAGAAAACATTTGCTATGTGGGTGATTCCTATACTTTCACATCTGAGGAGTTGTTAGACCCTACTTGTTGCAAAATTAGCCTAATGTAAAAAGTGTGTGAAATGGTTCATCATTTGCTAAACTGATGTGGTTATTTTAAATAATATTTAATTGTACTTAAAATAAATTGATATAAGGGGGGGGGGGGCTATCTGAGGGTTGTTCCCCCTAAAAATATGATTAAAAACCACGCTGTGTATTGTAAATACTAATATTTAATACTTTAAATAATTGTGTAAGTAGTAAAACAACACAAACGCAAACGGGGCAAAAATGTGTTATAAGTTTAGAAACATTTTGAGTCTCCCCATCCCTTGCCTCACAGTGCTTTGGTCCAAATGCCTGCTTTCCTCTTTCTGTCAGGGTTTTGCCCTGACACTCTGGTTGTCTTGTGTTTGTTTCTTGTGTCTATGTTGTCTTGTGTCAGCACATGGCCTAGTTGATTGTTTTTCTCAGCCATGTGCTTCTTTAGCCCCTCCTGGTTTCCTCATTACCACACCCTCTTGTTAGCCCTCATTGAGTCCTTGTTAGTGTAATTGCTCTCACCTGTTCCTCGTGTGTTTTCCTTCCTATTTATAGTACCCCTTGCCCTATTGTCTTTGCTGGTTTGTGGTCATTCTTTCCCTCAGTGTGTTTGTCGCTGTCTGTGGATGTGGCTGAGTATGTGTTCCTGTCTCCCTGTCTGTTTGATCTTGTGCTCTAGTCTTGCCCTAGTCTTGTCTCTTGTAATTCTATGTTCTTGTCTTGCTCCTTGTTTTTGGATGTGGTCTGTGTGGAGCCATGTTTTGTCTTGTTGTGGTGTTCCTGTCCTGACCTGTTCCTGTCCACTGGTCCCCTTGCCTGGCGTCTGGGGTGCTTCAGAGTTTATGGTCAATAAGTATCTGAGCTCAGCTCTCTGGTGCCTTGCTCTGGTCTCTCCACCGGCCTGGTCTTGCCGCCTCCTCTGCTGCTATAGTATGCTGCCAGTTGATGTCTGAGGCTGTTCCAGTGGCCTTCCCTAGCTATCTCTGTTTACTGTGTTCCTGTTGTGGTATCACCTGTGCACCTCACAACCCTTTTGTATTGATCTGTTTTGTCAATAAACCCTTGTTATTCACACTGCAATTGGGTCCTCCTTCCAGATCCCTGACACTTTCACATCACACATACACAAATCTGGTGAGAGAGAGAACAACGTCAATAGTTGTGGAACTCCAGTAAAAAAGTCTGTCAAGGCTATTTTAATCATCACTTTTTTTTTTTTTTTTTTTAATAGGCTTGATTGTGTTTATGGGGTGCAGTCTAACATGTCTTAATGCTTCGTTTGTTAAAAAACACATTATTTTTCACATACACATCTCCCTCAGAAATACACGATGGGGTCTGATTAATTAGCTGGCCCAGTGTGTTGTGATGGGCCAAACCGCCTCTAGCGTGCATCTTAATAGTAGGCTTGTTTGAGATGCAGTTGGCCTCGCCTGAAATGTAGGCAAGAGTAGGCGGCTGCAGTGAGGGGAGGAGTGAAATAAGAGCAGTCAAGACGGACAGTTCTGACCTCTCGAAGGGAACAGATACCAATGAGATCAAAGGCAGATATCGCGTTATTCTCACTTACATGCTGTGTTGCTAATAAACACGATATAAAACAATCATATGAAATCAGATAAAAATAAAATATTTTAGAAGAGAACCGCAGCATCACAGTTGTTTGAACGAATGAGCATTAAGCTGTGTCGTCAGTCAGTCGTTTCCCATCATGCTTAAATTCATTCACTGGAGGGTGCTTTCTTGAAGCGGGCACTGGAGGGCAATCTGGACTGGATTCGGGGACTGGAGCCCTCTCCTCTTCGCTTTGGCACTTTCGCCACGCCATACTCAGCTCACCCTCAGCCGCGGTGCAGGGGGCGGAGCTCCTCTCCACCCTCACACCATTTGTGGCTTTCTCCCTTGTGGCGGGCATTGTTGCCGGCTCTTGCACCTGGTCTGACAGCTTGGGCTCTACTTCCAGGGCGATTCTCTGCTCAGTCGCTCGGCATTGCGCTGGCTCGTAGATCGTGGCGAGATATGTAGTGATCAGCTGCAGCGCAGTAGAGACAGAGTCCGGCCGCAAGGCGGCGTGCACGCTCAGAGGGAGTGAGCCGTATGGAGTCCAATTGCATTGGCTCTGGTACTGGGGAACCCAGGGCGGGTGCGACAGACTGGTGGTGTAGCAGGCAGCTAAGCGTTGAGAGATTCGACCGGTTCTTTGCATGAAGCTCTCCAATCGAACTGAATCATCAGAAATAGCCATCTGAGCCCGGATACAGGGATCCAATCCCTGCCTGTAAGCGCTGAGAAGAGCTGTCTCATTCCATCCGCTGGTCACCGCCAGTGTTCGAAACTGCAGCGTGTAATCGTTGGTGGAAGAAGAGCCCTGACGCCTGCAGGAGTTGGTCAGACACGGAGAGCATTCCTGTAGCGAAGACAAACACTTCCTTGAAATGGTTAGAGAAAGCTTAATAGGAATTAATTATGGTATTATTGGCGTTCCATATAGCTTTAGCCCACACCGACGCTCTACCAGAGAGGAGTGAAATAAGGAAGGCTACCTTAGCACGTTCTGTTGTGAATTTCTGTGGCTGCATCTCAATGAAGAGCGCTACTTGCATTAGGAAGCCGCCACACCCAGCTGTGTCACCCCCATAGGAAGCAGACATGGTCATGGGACTGGCAGAGGCAGATTGAGGAGCAGTGACTGGCATGAGAGAGGCCCAAAGGGTGTTCACCAGTTCCTCGAGGACCTCTGCGGGAGTGGGAGGCCGGGGATCTATAGAGGTGAATGTTATAGGTCCGGTCTTCTGTCACAGATCAAGCCAGAGAAAACAGGTAAGTGGATAAACAGGTATGGTTTATTTTGCATCCCGATGATCGTCAGAGATTGCTGGCCAGCAACGAGGAAACACAGAGTAGGAGGATCGTCGGAGGATCATTAGAGGATCTAGGGAATAGTATACACAGGTAAGTAGCATACAAGGAGTCTGGTATAGTTCATGGATGTGAACGGTAGACCGGACAATGAGTGACTGTGAGGAGCGTGTTCTTAAAAGTGGCTTGATTGGAGACGGCAGGTGCAGGTGATCAGAATACAGATGAGTGTGATCTGGTGTGAGTGGTGATTGAATTCAGGTGAGTGTGATCTGGTGTGAGTGGTGGCTGATGACTGAAGCAGTGACTGCGTGGATTCGCTGAAAGTATAATGTTTCAATCATATTTTCTGACCAGAAAACGTCTTATTTTCTTTATACATAACATACCAGTACAATCCAATCCAGTACAAAAAAAATTGTACTATGTACAAATAAATAAATGAATGAATAAACCAATCAATCAATCAATTAATTAATAGTAATAAATAAATCAATAAATGAACAAACAAAGATAACACTGTAATGCACCACAGGGTAGGCAAGTCACAATTCAAGCATGGATCTAGTATCAGTTATCCTTTGAAGCAACAATCTGAATAATATTCTCCCACATATTTAGCTAACATTTTTTCATACGATACATTCTCAATCATAAATTCAATCCACATTTTAAGTGTAGGACATTGAGTATCTTTCCAAAATCTCAGTGTCAGACGTACTGTTGTGACTACACCCACAGTAAAAAGGGAAAACTCATTATCTTTAATCTGAGGAATCTCAGATTTATCTCCTAAAAGACAAATCCTGGGTGAAAGTGAAATGTCAAATCCCGAACATCTTCCTAGATATTTTAACAAAATTTTCCAAAAAGGTTGAATCTTTGAACATTGCCAAAGAGCATGAATGTATGTGCCAGTTTCTTCTTTACATTCCCAGCATTTATTATCATTCAGACAACCCATTCTAAAAAGTCGAACTGGTGTGTAATAATACCTATGTAATACCTTATACTGGATAAATTTACCTTTATGTACTTTCCACTGTAGGTGTATCCAATAAGTGTCTTTATCTATGTCACTAATGTCTCTTTGCCAAATCAATCTCAGGTTTTTGCAATTCTTGTCATCAATCTTTAAACAGAGTTGATCAGATTTAGATGTTTTTTATAGGTACCTTGGTAGTTCACAAAATTTTTCTAAAACATTCTTGTTTTGTTCCATAGAAACCTTTGCCTGCAAAGCAGTGTCTAATTTGTACAAATGATCCTGGCCTTCTAACTGAATTTTTTCTTTCAAATTATTATAAGACAAAAGCTTGTCTTATAATAATTTGGGGAAAAGGGGAAGTAAGTTGTCATACTATTAATACCCAATCTAAACTACATGCAAGCTTAGACTTACAATTATATAATGGGGCATAATTTAAGCACATGTATACACAGCAAATCACAATCACAACCACAAGTAAATCAGGGTTTCTGCAGGATTTTTAAGCTCAAATTTAAGACCTTTTTAAGACCTGCACAAATAAAATTAATACCATATGAGCGGGGTAGGGCAATGTCTATAGTACCATATTAAACTGTAAAATTACTGTAAAAAGCATAACTTACAGTTCAGATACAAGTTTTCACAAAAACAAAAAGTTTTATAAAATGATAAACTTGACATTTCAGCCTTTAAAACATTTGTAAGAAAATAGATGAGTCAAAAGTATTAATTATTATATTAATTTAACCAATTACTATCAATAAATTATTTTATCAATTAAAAAACATAAATTAGGGGTGTGCGATATTGCCAAAAAATGATATCTCGATAATTATCTGGGATTTTATCGATAACTATAATTAGACAATATTTTGCTGTGTATTATTGTGCTGATATCTTATCTCTAATTGTGCTGACAGCTGACTCCTGAATTTTTTTATATTCTTTATATTCTGTGTGGTCAGTTCACAGCAGTGATAGAAATTAATTATTTCCAACAAGTTGTATGGACATTTTTATCTTTAAGCCATTTTTTCTAAAAGTGTGCACCATCTTTTGAGTCAAATTCTTGCATTTGGGCTGTTACCAAGCAAATGAAATCAGTATCAACAAAACTGATCTTTACAATGTAGAGGAAACACAGAAGCTGCATTACACTGTTTAATGCAGCTCTGAGGGACATGGAATACTTTAACCTGCAGTTACAAATGCATAAATAATGTTTTGATATTTGAAACATAAAACATTAAAAACTGATGTTTGAAATTATTTTAAAAATGAAAAGGCACCTTAAATGTGAAATTAAAACTGCCAGTAGGTGGCAGCAAGTCACTGTTAAGTGAGTCATTGCATTGAACCTAATTATTTAAACGGTTGATTGATTCATTCAGGAATGAAACACTGTCATGTTGCTCAGAGACGCAAAACAGCACTGTGGCTTTGTTTGGAACCATTTTTGTTGGCGAAATAGAGCAAAAAATAGGCAATATGGTGTATAAAACGCAAAATTAAGAGTCTGTAATTTTTATGGTAGGTTTATTTTAACGGATATAGACAGAATCTCAACCAAAAATCCAGAAAAAAACACATTATATAAAGGTTAGAAATTGATTTCAGTGAGTGAAATAAGTATTTGATCCCCTACCAACCAGCAAGAATTCTGGCTCCCACAGATTGGTTATGTGGTGCATTGAATTTATTTAATACACGAGTTTCACAATTTGAGTTGAATTACTGAAATAAATGAACTTTTCTACGACATTCTAATTTATTGAGATGCACCTGTAATCTGGATTTTTTTCTGGATTTTTTGGTTGGTATTTCGTCTCTATACGTTAAAATAAACCTACTATAAAAATTATAGACCCTTTATTTCTGTGTAAGTGGGCAAACTTACAAAATCAGCAGGGGATCAAATAAATATTTCCCCTACTGTATATGAAATTATATAAATATAAATTTTCTGCCCCATATCTTGAATTATATAATTCTAAATGCATTTTAATAGACTGATTCATGCAGTGAAAGAATGCACTATAAATGCGCACGTGCACTAGTCTAACCTATTAGACTTCATCACCTAATGTATGCATACACTCTGTAGGTGTTTTGTCTGCTTTTCGCGATATACTCGATAGTATCAAATCGCACATCGTAAAAACATGGGTAGATTTTTGCATTTGTCTGAACTCTGAACAAAACAACAGTTTTATTGAAAATGCTCATTCATTCTCTGACAGCAGGTGGAGCGTTTGGTAGAAATATAACTGTTTCCCCGGTAACTGCTGTACACAAAGCAGTGCAGCACCGGACTTTGAACTTGCAGCGCTCATGTTTATTTCATGAAATCATAGCCTTTTGAAGTTTAATCGTCACATTCAGCCATATCGCAATTCTGGTCTTTCCGTCCCCAAATTTAAGACCTCTTGAAATCATAATTAAGACTTTCTTGTACAATTTAAGACTTTTTAAGGCCTTAAATTTGATACAACTAAATTTAAGACTTTTTAAGACCCGCGGAAACCCTGGTAAGTGGTTCATCATTGTCAGTAGCCTCCTGCATTCCAATAGTAACAGTCCTAAACAGTATGTTGAAATGAGTATCCCAAAGGATAGATGGCCTGGATGGTCTAATATTTCCATGGAAATTCTAAGTGCAGATCCATGCACACTATTGCCCAACACAACCCATTGTGCTTTGAAGGAGGAATCTGTTCAGAACCACAAACACAAATAAAACCTTTTTAAAAACTACAAACATGTTGGATATACAAGGCCAGTGGTTAAGTAGACAGGTGAAGGGGTTTGAGTGATTAATAATCAATCTAACCTGATGAAAAATATTTATTTTGGCCATGTTTGGCCGTTAACTTTAAAATGTAAAAACATAAAGTGAATCTTTGTATGAAAAACCCACGACTGGCAGATCAAGTGCAACTTTTTTCCTCTTCCATATGGCAGGTAGAATTTTAGTGTAATTTAAATGACTTGAAATGTGGAGTATGTATATGAGGACGTTAACTGTGATGTGATGATTGACAAGGCAGTCCAGGGAAGTAAATAGGTGACAGCATGGCCCATTAAAGACAACGTAGTTTGTCACAAAACGTGCCTACTCTTCTGTTACACACTCAAAAGTATGTACTTTTTCTTCACAATAAGAGTACATACTGTACTTTTGAAGGCATAGTATAAGTAGGCAAAATGGGATGCAGCAAGTGTCTCCTGTGTTAAACAGTTTAGAAACATACCCTAACATACACAGATAGCCAGGCCCAGTTCTTGCCAGCTATAGAAAGGCTGGCATGGTAGTAAATTTCCAGATTTAAATGACCGCAATGATGCCCGTGCAGCTTTTTCATTTTGGCTGGGACGATGTTTTTTTGTAGTAGAACACATACACTGCCTGGCCAAAAAAAAAATTGTCATCTAGATTTAAGTAAGCAAAGAACTGCAGTGCTTAACATGTTTCTGGCATGAAGTATGTTGGGAGGCAATTCTTTTAACCCTAACTGATGCAGTGCATAGCTTTTCATTTCTCAAACAACCATGTCAGAAGACGTACCTGTTTTCATACTCCAGGATGACAATGCCAAGATTCATCAGGCTCAGTTTGTGAGAGATTGGCCACCACAGAGTCCTGGTCTTAAATCCCATTGAAAGTCTTTGGGATGTGCTGGAGTTCACTTTACACTGCCTGTCCAAAAAAAAGTCGCACACTCATATTTAGTTCGACCACCGCTAGTTTTGAAAGGCATGTGCAGAGAGGGGTGATTTGGGGGCTCAAGCCCCTGCCCTTTTTCCAACATTTACCAAAAGTGCCCCTCTCTCAACAATTAGTTCAAGACAAAACGTTCAAGAAATATTCCACATAAACTCTTTTGTTTGCTTTTGGGTATCACTTCTTTAAAACGATTAAAGTTTAATATAAGACCCGCCTAAATATAAATGTTTAATGCTTTAAATGTGTTTTGTTTTTAATTATTAATATTTTAATCTTTTTTTCACTTTTCACAAAATGCTCCTAACGTTGTGATGATTTATGGTCACCAGCCACAAGCCCTGTGAATGTGAGCATGACTGTGGATGTCGTCCCTGTCGCTGGAAGTCTTGAGGTTACCTTGGCAACCTGTATAACTTCTAGAACGAAGCCTGCTGCCGAGGTGTCATGGAATTTGGGTGCTTTATCTGATTCTGTGAAGGTATCAACCAACACTGTGAAACATTTGGATGGGACGTTCACAGTCGCAAGCAGTCTGATTGCCACTCCAACTGCACAGATGAATCAACAACATGTCCAGTGTGTGATCAGACATGTTGCGATGAAAGAGGAACTGGAAGTTGATCACAAGATCATTGTGCACTGTAAGTGGCTTTATGACCCTTTATAAGGAAACCCAAATATTTCACACCCTTAGCGAGTTGTCATGTGTGCTTGTTACTGCAATGGTCATAAAACAGGTTTCAGCAGGTTCTCTGTCATTTAAAGGCCACTTCCTGCCTCAGCTTGTTGACAGTAATTGGTAATTAAAAGGGAAGTGCCATAAAAATGACAAAACCACAAACAGAGGCACTTTGGATAAGCATGTCTACTAAATTTAAGCAAAAATGCTATTAGTAGTTTTTAATGTGACAAAAGATTGTCAGTTATTCATTTAGTATTTCCTTGTGTAAAATAAGTACACTTTAGCATACTTTTAAAAAGAGTTCTTATTACAAAAATAATACAATTGAAAAGAATACACTTAAGTGTGAACTGAATGAAATATTTGCAGACACTTAACTGGATGTTATTTACAATTAAATAAAATGTATACTCACTGTACACATAATTTCTTAATTCTATTGTCTTTAAAATAGGGTTAAAGTGAATTGCTTACAAGCATCTACATAATATATATATATATATATATATATATATATACATAAAATATATTATATATATATATGTCATATTATATATACAGGTGCATCTCAATGAATTAGAATGTCGTGGAAAAGTTCATTTATTTCAGTAATTCAACTCAAATTGTGAAACTCGTGTATTAAATAAATTCAATGCACACAGACTGAAGTAGTTAAAAGAACCAAAGACTTAAACTACTTCAGTCTGTGTGCATTGAATTTATTGAATACACGAGTTTCACAATTTGAGTTGAATTACTGAAATAAATGAACTTTTCCATGACATTCTAATTTATTGAGATGCACCTGTATATCACACACACACACACATATATATATATATATATACGTAAAATATATATATATATATATATGTCATATTATATATATTACATATATTAAATATATGTAATTTCTATTTAGACTTGTAGGTCATGTATTTAAATATGTTTGCAATAATGCATTTGTATGAATGAAGTTGCAGTTTAGTGCACTTAAATATATTAACTTTAAATATAACAAGTATTGATTTATCTGTTTAACCAGGAATTGGCACATGTATTTGATTTGTATTTGATTTATTTGATTATTGAATTGATTACACAAATGTATTGAGGCAAACGTCACTTTTCGCAGTTAGTGGATACTTGGTAAGCCATCTGAATTTGTTTAGATGGATTGATATTAGCATATAAGTGATATATTTGCAGTCATATGTTTGTGTTTGTGTGTTTTAAAGATCCACCTCAGCTTGTCTTTGTGACACCTTTCAAGAATCTCTCTAATGCTGAGGTGTATCAGTGTCAGGCAGATGCCAATCCTTCAGCTACACACTTCAGCTGGCACAGGTATGAAAAAAATGAATAAAGGATATTTCATTATATTTCATAAATAATTTGCAGGTTCTTTAAGATGTAACAACTGCAGATCCTTGCGCATCCCTAACATGCAATGCATGGCAATACATAAAGCAATACAGACACAAACAATAGGAACAATAGGATATTAGTGGATTAGTTAGTAGGTAGTGAAAGCAGCACATCTCAGGAACAGGCATAATTTGCTTCCTCAAAACAGAGCTGAGAGTGACCTATCAACATTAAGAGCAATGCATTGAGGTTCATTTGCATTTCTTTGGTTTGCAGATGCGTTCTTCACAAACCGACGTACAGAATATGTGCGTTATGTAAGTCAGCTTGTGAAGAACTCATCTGCAAAGTAAATAAATTACTGTTGTGACATCAACGTTTATGTACAGAACAACCTGAAAAAGTTTGCAAAACATACTAGGTTTTGTTTTCAAATTTAGGCCCTATACTCATTCTTTTGCCAGTCTGACTTTATATTCCTTGCTCTTGTTCATGGAGTAGCACACACCAGACTATCCCTAATGATGCCATTAAAGCAGAAGGTAATAAACTCTACTTCTTGAAACTGACCTCTGACCTCAGTGGCCTGTATATCTGTGAGGCTTCAAACGAGTATGGTACAGGAATCGGCTCTCTCTACTGGCAAAAAGGTGACAAGTGAAAGCTTTTTGCATGTTTTGATGAATGAAGATACAGCAGTTTGTTTAGACAACAGTGTTTATCATGTGTTATCTCTTTTCTAGGAGAAAAGACAGAAGACTATCATTCTGAGCTCTGAGTCCTTTATACTACATGCAATTTCATATTTTCTCAGTGTCATCAAAGTCCCTTTAAGGAAATTCAGGAATAAACAGCCTGGTCTCATGTTTATACGTAGGTATTAATACGTAACATTTACAAGCACAAAACGTACACTTTTGTACGTTTTTATTAATGTTAAAACGTACAATTTAGACGTATTTCAACGTTTAAAACGTACAAATCGCTACGTATTTTTAGCTAAAAAAACGTAAAAATATTTACGTATCTTTTATATCATGAAGATATTCGTATCAATGCATTTTTTTTTTCATTTTATCAATAAGCGATTTAGATTTTTAGACCCCTTAACCTACCCCAAACCTAAACTTACGTAAAATACATACGAATTATCATGAGATCACGTTGGGTATGCTCCTCAAGCAGAACTTTTATGCTCGTTAAAACATAAAACGTAATTGCTTTGTTTTTGCCTAATGAGCAAAGAGTACAATAACTTATGTATGTTCTCGTTTATATTGTGTGTTTTTAAGTTCACATGAGGGATTGGGAACATGTGGTAAGCCATGATTTCCTGTTTCACTGAGGTAAAGATGGGCACATCGACACTCGGGTACTGACAATCTATTCACATTCTTTTATTTGGTATTGATTTCTTTAAAAAATATTGCTATTAAAATAAAAAATAAAAATACAATACATGATTTCTGTAACACTTTTTCAGTACTTTTGTTTAGTATTTGTCCCAAAACACCTCTGACATTCTCCTCTCACATTAAAATCCACTGACATATTTATTCGTTTAGAACCGTTTAAGACTGCAAACACGTGTAAACGGCTTGATTTGTGCATATTTCTGTCCTGAGATGAGACAACTTTTTCTCTGAAGAAAGCAATATTATGGAAAGAAGACTCATAGGCCTATTTTAGCCGGAAGCAACGGGTTGACATGAAAAATGTCTTAATTGTGAGTTGTTTATTGCAAACAATGTTCACTGATGGACTGGAGTTGTGTCGATTACTTCTGAATTATTGTGATGTTTTTATCAGTTGTTTGGACTCTCATTCTGACGGCACCCATTCACTGCAGAGGATTGGTGAGCAAGTGATGCAATGCTAAATTTTTCCGGATTTATTCTGATGAACAAACAAACTAAATCTAGCTACATCTTGGATGACCTGAGGGAGAGTACATTTTCAAGAAAATTTTCATTTTTGGGTGAACTATTCCTTTTTAACAGAGAGATAATGGCAGAATAGAAAACATACTATATTTTATTATTATTTAATCGCAGTATTTCTGTAAAATACAGGATTGTTTACACCTGTTGGTGTAAATTTTAATTTTGCTCATATTTGCTTTTGTAATAAAAGTGTTACTGGCCAGCATTTGCACATGGATGTGAATTTGAAAATACCCATTTATTAAAATTGTAACAAAAACATGTGTATTGTGTCAAAATATAGTTTGGTATGGCCCATTTCAATGAGGTATAAAATAGCTAGGTGACACACAAGCTGACAGACTGTATTCCACATTCACAAACTTTGGGACATGAGTAATACGGTTTCAATCCCTGGTTTGTGTGATATTTCCATTTTCTAGCCACAAACAAACTTTATTAGAAACTAAGTCGGTTATTTCCTCAATGAATTCGCGCCCATTTCAGCTACTTCTTTTAGTTTAAAGGCGGATTGCAATCATAACTTGTCAGGTGCATACCGCCACCTACTGTATAGCTTTACGTAATCTTAAAAAAATATATACATATACACTCATACAACATACATAGGCTATATATATACATATACACGCATCCATACCCATAATAAATAAATACAATAAACTAAATCCTATAATATATCCCTATATATTTTAGATATTCCACAACCCCTTTCTGTGCATCCTTTACCTCTTCTACTCTTGTTCCCAATAACGAGGTCCCATAATCCATTTTCTTCCAGTCTGATTAATCTTTTGCCTTAGAGTTAGACTATTCCTCTCCTCCTTATATTTTATACAGTATAACAGCATATGTTCTGTGTTTTCTGTGATTTTACATGCCTTACATTCATCTGATTGACATTTACCTAACATATATATGTGTGTGTGTATATATATATATATATATATATATATATATATATAATGTTTTATTTACATTGTATATAATTTCTATTATGTATTATTTGTAGCAAATAATAAAATAAAACACATATATCATCATGTAAAATAAATGCAAATTCTTCCACTATTATCCATGCCCCACCTGACCTGCCTTTATCATTTATTTTTTGATCACGATTCATTGCCTTAACGTCTCGTTTACCAAAGGGAACATTTATAATATCACTCTTCCTGGTTTAATTTTATTATTATTATTATTATTAATTTATTTTTTTATTTTTTTTGCTATTTTGTCTGCTTTCTCATTGCCTTTTATATTTACATGAGCATGTACCCAGCAGAATCTCACATCGATCAGAAATCTCCTCAATCTGAACAAACGTTGATGTATTTCTAGTATTACATATTCTCTGTTAGATTTCATATTTTGGATAGGCTACTATAAAGAGCTGCTAGAGTCAACAACATATCACTCTATCAGGTTTTACTTCCTCTACCCACTGTAAACCTACAATAATCGCCATCATCTCTGCCGCGTATACTGATAAGTGATCCGATCATTTTTTCCCAATACTTGCACTCAATGTTGGTGCATATATTTCTATATTCCTCTGATTTAGCCTTTATTATCCATCCAAATCCACTACCTTGAAAATATATAGTTATAGAAAATATATATAGAATATATATTATATATAGAAAATATATATAATAATTATATTCCGAACATTCTTGAATAACACTATTGTCCATATCCACAAAGACGACACGTTTGCCCATTTCAGCTGACGTGTTTCCGTCCTTTGTATTAGCCCTGCTGTTTGCGCGTCAGCACACTAGGGGACAGCACTCGCTCCTTCGTGTTCAGCGTCTCTGCTCTTGATTCTCCACTAGAAGAAAAGCCTCCCACCGTCTTTCTTTTTTTCAAAATGGCCGAATACTTGGCGTCGATTTTCGGTACAGAAAAAGACAAGTAAGTAATTGAAGTATTTATGAAATATTGCTTGCATTTCTTCATTCTCAGCAATCGTATGCATTGTTACAAACCGGTGATAATGGGTAGAATATAAGATTATTAGTATTTTCTCTCTCATGTCACGTCTGGTCATCATCTGACCTGTTTGCCATTCTCGCGGTTAGTAAAACAACAATAATACTAATAAATACTTGCATCACAGTGCGGAGCTTTCATATGCTGAATAATCATTATATTATAATCTTTTTTTTTTGTATCTTTTGACTCAGCCTCGTCGTGGCTCCATTGCGTTTCATTCATTGTGTTGCTCGATCGCTTTTATAAGGTTCAATGCAAAAGCTCATCGTCCCTGTTTCATTGTAGTTTTAGTAATCTGCGTTTGACTTCTCGTGTTTTTTGCATTATAATATGGTGGAAAGGTATAGTCGTGTGAACAGAAATCCAAACAAACTAGCATGTGTGTGTGTGAACAGTCAGAGCAAGTGTTTGTATTTTGAACCTCTCTTGTCTTCAACAGGGTTAACTGCTCTTTTTACTTTAAAATTGGAGCATGTCGCCATGGAGACCGATGCTCGAGACTCCATAACAAGCCTACGTTCAGTCAGGTAGGCGCCAGCTTTTACACCAGTGATCCTCTGATGTAGTTCTGCACGATTCTTCTGTTAGATTTGTATTGTAATTCGCATTTGATTTGTGTTTCAGACTATTGCTCTGTTGAACATTTACCGGAACCCACAAAACACAGCTCAGTCTGCGGATGGCATAAGTAAGTCTCGCTCATATGTACAGCTTTAAGTCACATGTTCACAGAAATAAACAATGTCCAGGAGTTACTGCCTCATAACTGACTGCCTGCGTCTTCTCTCTTTTACCAGACTCTGTCAGTGATGTGGAGATGCAGGAACACTATGATGAGTTCTTTGAGGTAGGTGGACTGGGGAAATGGTGAGGAAGACAGGCCGTGTCCAAAATAACCTTAAAGGGGTCATATGATGCAATTTAAATTTTTCCTTTCTCATTGGAGTGTTACAATCTGTGCATAAAGAAGATCTGTAAAGTTGCAAAGGCTAAAGTCTCAAATCCAAAGAGATATTCTTTATAAAAGTTAAAGAGTCAACCACGCCTACCTAAAACGGCTCGTTCTAACACGCCCCCACATATCTACATCGCTATGTGGAAAGATTAGCATAACGCCGCCCAAATGTTCACACGAAGAAAGAAGGTGTTAACTTTTATTCTCGCTGTAGTATTGTTGCTGCCGCCATGTCATGAAGGCGCTGTGTGATTCGTTGTGAAAGCGAAACTACTTTGTTTGGTCTTCCAAAAGAGGACGATATCTGCTTCGTCATGCCTGGAACTGATCCGTGCTGGTCGCTGAGGAAATACATCAACTTTGCGCTGTGAATCGCCGAATCGGCTTTCACCGTGGACGAAGCGGAGTCCAGCCCGGGGTCGTCACATGTTGTTGCCGCAAGCCTGGTTCTTTTTAGCAACATCATATGACCCCTTTAATATAACTATGATTCAAGCCGTTAAACACAATCAGAGAAACAATGGGAGTATTAGGGAATTTCAAAATAGTCTTTTCCAAGCTTGAGTTCAAAGTTCAAACCACGGACATTTCTATTATGAATCATCATTTTCTAGTGCTCTTTTCTACATTATTTCATAGGCTACATATTGCTGTTGTAAAGAGTAAAGTTTCTTTCAAGAAAAATGGCTGCTGTGGATATAACCTCGGGCCTACCATTCAAAAGTTTGGGCTCAGTTTTTTTGTTTTTTAGGAAATTGAAATCCTCTTTAATTGCTACAAAATATTTATATTTAAAATAAATGCTGTTATTTTTTTTTTAAGTTTCTGTTCATCAAAAATTCCTGTAAAAATGTATCATGGTTTCTACAAAAATATGAAGCTGTTTTCTAAAATGATGAAAATAATGTTTCTTATGCAGCAAATCAGCATATTAGAATGATTCCTGAATGATCATGTGAAGATGATTGGAGTAGATGCTGAAGACTGGAGTAATGATGCTGAAAATTCAGCTTTGAATCACAGGAATATATTACATTTTAAAATAGATTAAAATTTAAATAGTAATAATTCACAATATTTACTGTATTTTTGAACAAATAAATGCATCCTTAGTGAGCCTAAGAGACTTCTTTCAAAAACATTGAAATATCTTTCCAACTCCAAACTTTTGAATGGTGGTGCATGTCTTATGGCAGCTATTCTTTCAGAATGATGGGACCGATATAGGCGATACAGTTTGGCCCTGTTTGTTGCATCAGTTGTATTTTTAGGCTAAAAATCACAAATTGCAGATTTTATGCTCCAATATGGCTTTAAATTCATTGTTTACAGGAGGTCTTCGCTGAAATGGAGGAGAAATATGGAGAGGTTGAGGAGATGAATGTGTGTGATAATTTAGGAGATCACTTGGTGGGAAATGTCTATGTGAAGGTGAGAGAATTTGCAGTGTATTTACGTTGTAATAATAATTTGTTAATTTAATTTACTATTTAAAACTTTGACATTTGTTGAATTTGTAATAGTCCAAACTTAGAATTTGTGATTCAACAGTTAAATGTATCTGTACATTTTAACAGTTGTGTGTGCTATTTTGTTATAGCTAGTGTTACTTGGTACTTTATTTTTTGGCAACTCATACCCATATGATATTATTATTATTAAAAGTAATTTGTGGAAATTTGTTTTTGTAATCTTTTTGGTTTTGCCATCATTGTATAAAAGCAGTAATCAGCTTGAGGCTGTTTTATCATGGTTAAATGCATCTTTGTGCTTAAAAACACCCCTTAGTGCAGCAGAGAAACAACTAAAACTTTGCTTTTTGTGTGTGTAGTTCCGCCGTGAAGAAGATGCAGAGAAGGCGGTGATTAACTTGAATAACCGCTGGTTTAATGGCCAGCCCATCCATGCTGAGCTCTCACCTGTCACCGATTTCAGAGAGGCCTGTTGTCGACAGTATGAAATGGGGTAAGTGACTGAATAAGCATCAGAGAGTGCTGCACATCTTCCCTTCCCACACACTCTAATGCAGCATTCCCACAGATGTATGTTTACCTCTCTTCCCTCTTCAAATTGATGTTTACTGATACCTGGTGCCTAAGCCTGAGCAACTGTCCCATTGCACATGATTTGTTGATTCAGGTGAAGGTGTGTACTGAAATAGTGTTGTTTTCTTAAACTGTGTTCCACTGGCTTCACTGTGACTGACTGCAGTACTTGTGTGTTCCCGCAGAGAGTGCACTCGAGGAGGCTTCTGCAACTTCATGCACCTGAAGCCAATCTCAAGGGAACTCCGAAGAGATCTGTATGGTCGCAGGAGGAAGAGGTCTGTCTTATTTAAAACTCATCAAAAGCATAAAGATTGTTACAGAAAACTTGTGTAGATCTGCTTGCAAATAAAAACTACACTAAATATTGTGAAATAATATTACAATTTAAAATAACTTTTTTCTATTTGAATCTATTTTAAAATGTAATGTATTCTTGTGATGCAAAGCTACATTTTTAGCATCATTACTCCAGTCTTCAGCATTACATGATACTTCAGAAATCATTCTAATATGGTGATTTGCTGCTCTAGAAACATTTCCTATTCAGGGCTCGACAGTAAGGACTGCCTGATGGCCAGGGTGAAAGATGTGTAATAGTTGACAGATTTGTCATGAATGTTTATCATTTACACGTGTTTTAAGCCTCGCCAATTAAAAGATTCAAGTGATTTTAAAGCATTCAAGGGCACAAAGACGCTACAGACAACTATATTCAGTACTCGCGTGCTGTGCTGTGTTGTATATGCACAGCGCGCACATAGAGAGCTGCGCATTAACAGAAAAATACACCTTGCCAATTTTAATATTTCAAGAGATTTTAAATCATTCAAGTGCAAGAAGATGTGAATAGCAGCTCCATTCAGTGTGTTCTGTGTGCACAGCGCACACACAGGCAGCCCCGTCTCAGTTATCGCCCAAGTCTCGTATTGTGTTTCCGCGTCGTCTTGAGCTTTAATGGACAAATACATACAAAAGTATGTCAAAATACCGATCTCGGCGAGTATCCTCAAAAACGGTCAGTTATGTCGTAAGTGAACTTTAACATCTGAGAAAGAAGTCGGATGTGTTTGCATTCCATGCATTGTCTCAAAGTGACAGCAGCTGCTGTCGGTGTCCTTAATGTAAATAATAATAAAAAAGAAACACACTGTACCTGAACACATACAAACCTAAAGCATAGTGGTTTGTTCTATTTGTTTATGTGCTATTGCTTGTAATTTGTTCATTTGTTCTTATTTACCATCTGTTCACTTGTCTTTAATAATGTTTGAACTTTATATTTGTTTAGGCTAGTAGTTGCTGTGGAATTGGAATTGATAATTGTAAGAATTAACTGTTTTAACTGAAATTTTGTTATCATATATGCCCATTTATTAGAATGCAAGATAACATGGGTAAAAAAAAAATAAAATAAACTTTTTTCTTTTTTGTGGCAAGTAAAAAAAAAAAAAAAATCCTTAGCGTTGAGCCCTGCTATTATTATCATTTTTCAAAACAGTTAATATTTTGTGGAAACTGTGATGCATGTTTGTTCAGGATTCTTTGATGAATAGAAAGTTCAAAAGAACTGCATTTATTTGAAACATTATAAATGTCTTTACTGTCATTTTTGATCAATTTAATGCATTCTTGCTGAATAGAGTATTATTATTTTTTATTTTTTTTAAAGTAAGTTTACTCATTCCAAACGTTTGAAAGATACTGTATAAATGGACTGGTTTTGGACAGGTTAGTAAGCTTGTTCTTTGTTCTACACAGGCATCGCTCCCGTTCACGTTCCCGTGAACGTCGTTCTCGCTCAAGGGAACGCAATAGAGGAGGAG